GGGGTGGGGGAGGGAAACGGGGCCCCGAAGGCAGTGCTGCTCTTGGTGAAGAGGCGTCTGGTTGGTGCTCTTGCCCTTGCTGACGTTTGACCCTTGAGCAGAGGTTGCCCTTGGTGAATTCGCTTTATTTATGTTGAATCACACAAAGGCAACTTTTGTTTGAGTATCAAATCCTGCCTGTGATGGCTTCCGGGACCCCGTGGCAAGTGCAGGGTCTACACCTCCCCTGTGAACAAGAACGGATGGTGTAGATGTGGGAGTCTACACCTCTCCAGGGGACGAGAATGGTGATCAGGCTGGATTCCTAACATGGCCCACCTGGGGCACTTGAAGGGTGATGTCCTGACCCGTCTGTCTCTGGGGCCCTCTTTACGGTGACCCCTGGTCCCAGACACGTTCTGCCTCCACCACTCTCCTCTGAAAGGGGGCCTTGTGGGTTAGTGAAGAGTTTGCCCTCAATGGCTGGAGACGCCCCCGCTTGTCACTCCCTCAGCCTCGCACAGAACCCCTCTCGCACTCTGTCTCTCCGGTCTTTCTCTCTGCACTGCCCCTTGTCGCTCCCCATCTGTCTTACTGTCCCCTGCACACCAGTGTTCTCCATGCTCTCGGGGGTCATGAGCAGAAGCCGTCAGCGTTCCATCCTGTTTGTAGTAAAATAGCGACAAAAGTAACGTGCATAGAGTAAAACCAAAAATAACTGGAAAGGCCCAGAGCACGACGTGCTCGATTGAGTACAAATTGGCAGAAGAGTCCGATTTTCTGGACAATGTTTCAGCTGCCACGTCCGACCTGGGGACATAGAACGCTGTAGACATGGTGGCCATGAGACGGGTCTGGCACAAAACAGCGATATTGGGTGTAGACAAGAGCATGTTGAGGAATCAAATCTCCATTCAGATTTTTAAATGGAAAAGAATTGATCCTAATGAAAATGATTTGGGGAAAATAACAAGGGAAATAAAAGAAATGAAAACAGCCCAACAGCGTAGGCAGGAAAATGAAACAGGGAATTGGATTCATTTAATGGAATTTGCTGTGAAAAACAATGATTTTATGAAAATCAATGTTGGGTGCCATTCTCATGACGGTGGTGAAATCCGTATGCGTGGAGCGCAGGCAGTGCCGTCAGCAGGGACAGAGGGCCCGAACTCTGTGTCCTTTGTGCGTCTGACCTTTTCTTTCTGTCCTAAGTCTTCCCGGAGACCTTCCTGAGCAGGCTTGCTGATGTCAGGGGTGACACGCTGGTAATGGGGGTGCATGCCGGCCTCAGCGCGTGTGCCCTCCTGGGGCCCTGCCTCTCCGCTCTGCCCCCTCCTGGTGTCCCTCCATCCCCTGTGAAGCTCTGCGTGACATGCTGGCTCCAGCCATGCGGCAGGAGGCCCTTGGTCAGTGGGGACGGCTGTTGTCAGCACCGTTGATGGATATGCAGGAGGGCCAGTGCTTTCCCCAGTGGCCTCCTTCTTAGGAGTCCCAACGCCACATGCTGGTCCCGCACCCAGGCTCCTCTTTGGTTCTGGATGTCACCCACCTGGTCAGGGAGGCCGGCTCACTTGGGAGGTGGTCCTGAAATCGGTGTTTCTGGGATCCAAGCGTTTTGTTGCCTGGGAGTAAAAAGAGGTTGTCCTTTGCTGGCATGACTTGCTTATGACCAACACCGAATGGCGGATCTCTTTCCAGATAAACCCGTGCCTCCGCAGATCCCCGAAGCCACAGCATCTTCAGGAGGCGGCCGGTGGCTGGAGCCCGACCTGGGGTAGGTGCCTGGGTGCGGCCCCGGGACAGGCCCTGGCCATGTGGATGGCCTGTGTCGTCTGGTCCACCGGCCGTTGCTGCAGCCCGTTCTTAGGAGCCCTTCCAGGAGGTGGCGTCCACCCGGGAGTGCCTCCCTGAACTGCAGGTCAGTATCCAGGGACAGCGAGGCTCCAGTGACATATCTGCTTGCTTCAGGACAGAGAGTGGGGGCCGGCTTCTTGCTGCAAGTGCGGCAAAGACCTGAAGTCTCTCCAAACTCGTGTGAGGGCTCCTGCGATGGGCCCCACCCCCTAGTTCACAGGACACGGGGCTCAGAATCCAGACTCTGCCTGTGGCCTGTGTTGTCTGCCCCTGGCCCTCCCTGGCCCGTCCATTATTTGGGGCATATTCTGGAATCTGATGTCAACTCTAGGAAAAGCCGCGGGCCTCATACCAGAGCTGCTCTGCTTTTCTTTGAAGAAAACAGCTCGGTTTGCTGTTTGCTCCCCCGTCCCCGCCGCCGTTATTTTTGGTGTTTTGCTTACTTTACTTTGTGAGGCTAATCAAATGATCAACCAGTTTTTTAAATCACCCTGTGAAGGACTCTGGGGGAGGGGTGATGGGGTGATGGGGTGGGGGTGGGGGCTCTGGGCGTTAGTGCCCTGCACAGGCACAGGGTGGGAGGGACGCTTTGAGCCTGTGCGGGACAGGGTCACCGTCTCCAGGGCTTGTGAATGAGAAGCAGAGACAAGCAGGGTCTCCCCAAGATTTAGACCACCTACGCGCAGCCCAGTCGGGCACGAGGGCACCTCGGCCTCACGGGGGAGCCCTCCAGGGTGTCACGCCGCAGCACGGGCTCCCTCTTGACAGCATAAGGTCCCCCCGGGCCCTTAAGCTTCACTTCGGGAAACAGTCTCTGGATTTGGCTCATTGTGGGGAAGGCGATGGAAGGGTTGGCCTCGACGGCCGGGCTTGGGGGGTGGGGTGGTCCCGGGGGGATGCCCAGCGCTCAGGCGCCCTCGGGGAGGGTCTTCGGCGAGCCCAGCCAGCCGGAAGCGTCCGCCCTGGTCCCAGCGCCCGAGCCTCTGCATGGTACTTGGGGAGAGGTTACCCGAGCAACTTTGCATCCGGACGACGAATGTTGCTCGGTGAACCCCTTTTCGGTATCACATTCCACCAGAGAGGCCGTCTCGGAGGCCGCGGCTCCTCGGGGAAGAACGTCGGTGTCGGCACCACTCTGGGGTACGGGACGGATGGTCGACCAGTTGGAAAGTAATTGTTTCGAATGTACTTCACCTGGTCCACTAGCCGTCCGTATCCGCTGCAGCCCGCGGGCCGGGGAAAGCCGCTCCTCAGCGCAGCGCCGCCTGGTACTTGAAGGGAGATCGACCGTGTTATATTCGCTTTCTTGGCTTCGAATAATACATGGTTGATCTTTTCTCAGTATCAAATCTCACCTTGGATGCTCTCTTGGAGATGAAGCCCTGTGGGGGCGGGCGTGGGGCGGGGCGGCCGGTGTCCCCGCCCCCGGAGGGCGGGGCGGCCGGTGTCCCCGCCCCCGGAGGGCGGGGCGGGGCGGGGCGTGCGCCGCAGGGTGCCGCCCCCTCACCTTTCGCATCTGATCCGCCCTCAGGACGGCGTCTGCGAGGCGGCCATTGGACGGCGTGTCTGGGTACTTGAGGAGAGGTTGTCTGTGATGAGTTCGCTTTATTAATGACGAATATAACACAGATGGCCTGTTTTCAGTACCACCCGCGGCTCTCGCGCTGGGTCCAGCCTGGGGCCGACCCCTCCAGGGTACGTGAGTGCGTGGGCTCTGCCTATGTCGTTTGTCACCCTCTCTGCCAACCCTCAGCGTCGAGTCCCTGCTGGCAGAGCTTCCTGGAGGCCACGTGGGCCCTGCGGCCTGGCTCTGGAAGGCGAACGGCACCCCCCCCCCCCCCCCCCCCCCCCCCCCCGCCGCCCGCACGGTGGGCAGCGGCCAGCTCCAGGGCGCCCCCCAGCGGCTGACCCCACGCATGGCCTGCACGCGGGAGGCCTGTCCCGGCCGCCGCAGCCGCTTTGCCGCCCATCCGCCTGCCTCGGGGGTCCCGACGCCGCCGCCCCCTCGGGGCGGCCCCCGGGCCTGCTTGCTCCGCACGCTGCTCCAGTGGTGCGTGAGGAGAGGTTGCCCGTGGCGCGTTCGCCGTCATCATGACGCACAATACACGGTCGACCTCTCTTCCGCGCCAGCTCCCGCCTCGCACGCCTCCTGCGGGCCGCGGCCCGGGAGCGCGGGGCCGGGGGCGCGGCCGCGGCCTGGGGCGGGCGCGGGGCCGTGCTCGGGGAAGGAGCCGCCCGTCTGCAGTCCGCCGTGTGCAGTGGTCCCTGAAATAGGTTGCCTGTGAGGTGTTCACTTTCTATACGATGAATATTATACAGTCAACCTCTTTCCGGTACCGAATCCCGCCCTGGACGCGTCCCCCGCGGGCGCCGGCTGCAGGTGACGGAGGTGTCCATGCCGCCGGCCCGTGGACGTGGCGTGGGGTCTGTGGCACGCGTTCTTCCCGGCCCCACGCGCCCCCGAGGCTTCCGAGAGCGGCCCCCAGCTCGGCCGTTCCCGAGGTGTCTGCGCCGGGCAGGCGGCCGACCTCGGGCGAGGCCCCCACCCGCCGACGCTCATTCCCCACGGGCTCCGGCCCTGCCCAGGCCGCGGCAGGGTCGCGGGGTGGGGGGAAGGGTCAGGGCCCCTGGAAGGTGAGCTCCCAGAGGGCCCCGGAGGGATGACCTAAGGAGGTGTGGCATTTGCTAATTGTCTTACGGGCTGCAGGAAGCGCTTTCCACGCCGGGTGGCCTTGCCCCAGCAGGTGACACGGCAGCCTCTCCCTGGAAGGCCCTGCCCTGCGCCTGCCTTGCTCTTGGTGGCCTCCTGCAGCCTGTGGTCTCTCTGCCCAGCGCCAGGGCTCCCGCAGTGACCTTGCCAGGGGAGCGGTGAGGGCGGCGAGGTTCCAGGCCGCCTCCCCTCCCCTGGGCACCGGCCCCTGGTGTGGCAGCCCCACCTCCCCTGTGCGCCCAGCCCGCCTCTCCGGCCCCTGGCATGGCCCTGCCTGAGGGGCCTCCCTCTCCGGCTCAGACCACTGCACAGGCCCCTCTTGGGTCTCCCCATCCTTCTTCTGCCGGTGGAGCCTTCCAGAAAGTGGTCTGGCTCTCTCTGCACTGCCCAAAGCCCCTCCGAGGCCCCCCCCCTTCCTCATGCCCCGCTGCAGACCCAACCAAGAACCTGGACGGCCTGCCACGCCCTTCTTTTGACATTTGCATGTACCACTCCCTGCCCCCCATTCAGGGCCACCCACCACCTACTGGGAGCTGGGTCCGGGGCGGCCCCCTCCCCTCCAGGCCTTCCCCACACCCTGCACATCCCTGTCTGGGAACCCTTAGCACACACTCTTGCTCAAAAGGGTCCTCCCCTTTCTAGAGTCAGAGGCTCAGGATTCTGGAGGGGATGGGATGTCCCTCGTTCATCGAGGTGTCCCTCTTCCTGGCCGCCTTCTGTCAGTCACCCTGTTAAGACTTTCTTCCTGGCTGACTGCTGTCTGCAGTGACCTGACGTGAGTGAATGTCTGTCTTCTCTCTTCCCCCAGATGCAGATTTCTCAGGGCAAGGATTTTCTTTTTTTCTCTCCTGTTGCCTACTGTGTCCCCAAGCCCTGGGACCCAGGCCAGGCCCAAACTAGAGAAATGGTGTTTGCTGATTGACTCACAGATTCCCTAAGGGCAGGGACCTTATCAAGTTAATCCCCAGGAAAGTGCTGGGCGCAGAGGAGGCTCTCAGGAAAACATGGTGACAGAGCCCATGAATATGGTAATTGGTTTTGAGAAATTCTTTACGTTGGTTAAACACTGTTTGGCCTTCTGGCTTTTTCTGTCCCTTCTAGATGGCATTTGGGAGAGTTGAGGTTTGCTGCAATAAAGGTCAGGTCGGCTGGGTCTGGGCTCTTCTCTCCATTTTCCAAGACCCCCCAAAAGGAGCGATGAGCCCCAATATAATCCTGCAAACATCATCAGGGCCCCCCGCCCCACCTTCTAGCACACTCTGCCGTGCTCAGAAGCAGGTGCTCTGGGGAGCTCGGTCTGCAACAGGCTCGAGTGTGGTGTGTCAGGGCTAATATTTTATGCATGGAGCTGACTAAATGGGGACATTTGGAGATGAAAATTGCTGTTAATGCATCCACACATCTTTGGAATATATTAAATGTTTGTAGGAGCGGGAGGCGACATTAGCCTTATTTAATAGCGCGGATGTAACCATCCCCACACCCAGCTGTAATAGCCCCAGTGCCTCTAGGCCCCGCAGGCTCCCCCTCGGGGACAGCACTGGGTCTATCAGCTGGCACTGGAGAATTATGCATGAGACACAGTGTCAGCCCCACCACCAGGCATTCAGGCAGCATATGTCCCAAACTCATTTTAGACCCAGAGACGGTGACCCCATGCCGCTTGGTGCGGAATTTCATTAAAAGCCAAATTACTGGTTTATCTATTGTTTGAGCAGAAGAGAGAATAAACAAAGGGACAAATGAAAACGTCTGTCCCCGCAGCCGCCCGAGGGCCGTTGCCGTGGACCCTGAAGCCACAGGGTCAGTGACTTGGGCCCGTCTCCAAGGTGCCGTGGAAACCCGCCGTGGTCCGAGCTCCTGAGGCGCTCACCATCTCCCGGGGCCTGCGTGGGCGAGGACCCCGGCCGCCCGCGCCCCGTCGCCTGGATACGGTTCTGTGAGAGCCACTTCGAAAACTGAAAAAGCTGTTAGAGCAACTGGACCGTGTTCTCACTGCCTTAATCATTTTCAAGGGGATGAGAAGGAACATGAAGAGGCCCCGCCTGGCCCCGCTCGAAGGTGTCTGCTCCCTGCACCCCCCACCACCACCCGTCAGCCTTGGGGGAGCAGGCTCTCATTTACCGCAAGGACGTGGGGTGCAGGGAGGGTGAGAGAGGGCGCAGCGGGCATCAAGGCAGGGCTGGCCCCTCAGCACTCTGCCTGCTGAGAGCCACATGGCTTCAGGAACATTCCAGGCCTTAGGAGAAGGCAGGCCCGTGGAGTCAGCCCACGTTCTCTTTGCACAAGGTGGGGGGCTTGCTCTTCTCAATGCTCAGCGGGCTGTACTTCAAGCGGCTTCTTCCCTGCCCCCGCCTGGAGTCTCTCCAGTTTGGTGCCAGCCAGTTTGGTGCGGTCCCCGTGGCCCCCGGCTCCTGTCTGGCCTGGGGAGGGGGCTGCCCGCTCCGGCAGGAGACCCAGGACACGGTGGAGCCCACTAGGACATGCGTTTTTCGCTGCCACATTTGAGCGCCGTTGAGAGTCGTGTGCGGGTCTTGTCTGGGCAGCCGCTGAGCCAGAATGCCCACCGCCCCCTCCCTGCTCTGCCCCTGCTCATGTTCCAGGACCACCCCGTGCAGACCCAGTGGCCGGTGCCGTCCCGGAAGAGCCCGTGGGATGTCAGGGCTGAGCGGGGCTCCCGAGTTCATGTCCCGTGTCCCCCCACCCCTGCAGCTCGCATCCTCATACGTGGCATTTCTTCTGAGCATCGCCTCAAACTTCCGGGGGCAGGACCTGCCTCTGGCAAATAAACGGGTTCCTCCTTTGCAAAAATGGGGTGACCCGGCACCCATGGCTGAGGACAGTGTTGCTGCTGCCCTGCCACGGAGCTTCTAGAAGCCAGGGCCTTGGCCCCGCAGTGTTGGCTCATAGTAGGTGCTCAGCTAAGGCCCAGGATCAGGGCCGGCTGCAGACAGCAGCACAGAATAGTTGTTCAGTGTGAGAGGGTAAACTGAAATCGGCTCTCGTCATTGCTGGGAAGAAGCACCCAGGAGGGGCAGGAAGGACGTTTGTGGAATGAATAAATAAAAGTGTGCTCTTTGAGGGAATAAAGAAGCAGAAAAAGAATCCAGGGAAGATGGACATAAATCTCCACCAAGCGCCGCCAAGGTTTGCAGCCAAGGCGGCTGAAAAAACCCCGCGGAGGCCGAGGGGCCATTTGTCACAGGCGGGGACTGGCTTGAGGGCCAGGAAGAAAGGGTGTGACGGTGGCTCGTTCATCATTTTCCCATTATCCCCAAGACGTGGAGAGGAACCTGCGCAAGGCGGGGTGGGAGTGGGGAAGGATCCCAAGGAAGGGCAGGCCCGGCAGGTGAGCCCACAGCTCTGGGTCAGGTCCCACAGCCCGGGCGTGGCAGGACTCCGTGGCCAGTATGGCTACTGGACCCCAGTGGGTGCACGATTGAACATGTCTAAGCCCCCCTCGGGCCCTTGGTGTGCGTTGCTGGTTTTCATACCTGTGAGCCCCAGTGCCAGCCCTGTGTTCATGCCATACCCCTGCCTTGAATGTCCCTCCATGTCGCTAAGGGTCTAGCTTCACTGCCACCTCCTACAGGAAGCTGTCCCTGATTTGCCCCTGTGCCCAACATACAAACTCCAGCCTCAAACTGCAGGTATCCGTTCCCTGGTTCTTCAATCAACAGGTACGCCTCGGCCAGAGAGCAGGCTGTGCAGGCTCAGGGCTTTCTGGTTTGGTCGTTGTGGGGCCCCTGCGCCCAGGGAAGGTGTCCTGTGATCCCTGTTCTTGTCCCGTCCCCGCAGGCACGCCGGACTCGCCGTTGGGCGGCCGCCCGAGACTTGGAGACTGGTTGATCACAGTCACGAGCCAAGGGCTGGGCGAGCGGTAGCCACACCCTCCCACCGCTGCCTGGAGAGGTGCGGGCTGTGGGCCGGAGGCTTTGCCCGGGTCAGGTGAGTGCACTTGGAAGGCCCACAGGGTGCCTCCCATTCGGGCCTGGAGCCAAGGTGGGATTTGCCTGGGGCGCACAGTGGAGGGGAGACCCCAGCTCATTAACCGGGTGGCTCTCGGGACGGAGATCATGGCTCGGTACTGGTGTCGCACCTCTGGGCCCCAGACAGTGCTCGTGGAGTGAGTGAAGGAAAGCAGCCTCCTGACTCCCGCCCAGAGCCCCGGGCGCACCCCAGCCAGCCTTGCGCCAAGGAGTGGCGCGGCGCGCTCTGCCCGGCCGCGGGGAGCTGTGTGAGCCTCACACGGGCTGCAGCGCGAGAGAGGCTTGAGCAGCCTAGACCCCTGGCTTGGGGACAGTGGGGCCCCGGCCTCCAGGCTCCCCTGGGAGCGAAGGCCCCGCTCTTCCCTGGGGCAAGCCGCTGTGTGCGGAGCCCGGGGGTGTGGGCAGCCTTCCAGAATATGCTGTTTCCCCACCATCTGTGATATCTTCGTTTTCTCTAACACTCAAAAATAGATGTTTCTGTTATGCTTCTCGTTGGCAGGGGGGCTGGAGGGCTTGCCAAGGCCTGGGGGAGCCCGCCAGCCTGCCGAGTCTTACTGTACAAACAGTTGGGGAGGGGGGTGTCTCTGTTAACTTGAAATCCCCGATCAGTAAACATGCCAATTTAAAGTGTAATTAACTCAGGCCGGAAAAAATTCAGATCTGGACTGCTTTTCACAGTTGAAGTTGTTTTTCTTTTATTTATTTATCTCTTTCCGGGTGTGGTGGTGTCTGTGGCAGGTTTAAGCCAGGAAAAATAGAAGGGGGGCTGAAGTGGGGAGGGGGCTGGCTGGGAGACGAGGCGATGGAAGGAAAAGGAGGAGGAGAGGGGAGGTGGGCCTGCCCCCCGCCCCCGCCCACGGCCCGGGGTCTGTAGCCCCTTTCTGTCCGGGATGCCAGGTGCCAGGGGAAGAAACAGAGGAGAGGGAAGCAGGAGGCATGTGTGTTCAGCTGGGCCAGGTGACTCAGAGTCGCGGGCACCATCCTGGGACCCCAGGGAGGCACCCAGCTCGTTTGTCCAGAAGGCTCTGGGGTCCCTCCTGACTGTCTGTTTCCTCCTCTTTCAGGGGCCTCTGCTTTCCGTGAACCCACCCAGACTATCAGCACCAGACTCCTGCTTCACAGGGCTCCGGGAAGGTCCTGCCCTTGGAGAAGGTCAATGGCATCCACGCCCCCGCAGCACAGACCCGCTGCCCTGCCTTCCCTAGGAAGAAGGGGAGGCCGGACACTCCCCACTCTATATAGAGCACCCTGAATGGGGCCCAGGAGCGGATCCATCAGGGCTCAGGCCCGCACTATGGACTGGGGAGGACCGTGTGGGCAAGCAGAGAACTCTGAGTGGCCACGAACTCCAACAGAAGAGCCACTGACATGTGCCCCCCCACCCCAGGGTTCAGGAGCCCTGTTCTTCCTTTGCAAACACTTGGCATGTTTTGGGGCTATTTTGAACAATAAATACACATTATAAAACTCTTAAATATGTTTGTGTGTCTATATGCTCAGAGATGATGTTCATTACGGGGAAGGTTTAAAAACAAAGGCCATCTGCCCTCCGGACGGATTCTCCTCTGGGGTCACTGGCTTTTGCCCAGAGGGGACCCCGCGGGGCATCTTCTCTACATCCAGGGGTCCACCTGGGAGGAGGGGGCCCCCTCCCCTGCTTGTGCGCCGCAGGGCCGGAAGGCACGCTTCCATGTCTGAGGTCTGAGCTGGCTCCCGCCCCCGCTGCCGCCCCCCCACCCCCCACCGGGGCAGGGGCCGAGCCCCCGCCTCCGCTCCGCAGCCTCCGCTGGTCACGACTCAGCCGGGCTGACTCACCCGCGGCCCGGAGCGGAGCCTCGTAAATTACATAATTACCTACGGAACCTGCCGGGAAGGACGCGCGCGCCGGTGACTCACTGTTTTCCCCGGAGCCTCTAGAGCCTCTCGCCCGCGCTCAGCGGCCGCCTCGGTCTGGGCCGGCTGGGCAGGGGGAGGGCCGCCAGCGTGGCCTGCCCCCCGCCCTGCAGGGAAGGGGCTTTGGGCGGGGGGCGCCTTCCCCTCCGGCCCCCTCCCCCCAGGCCTTCCGGATGCACTGTCCCCAGCTGGTGGAGGAGGAAGAGGGTCCAGAGAGGTCTGCTCGGTGGCCCCACCCGCCCCCAGCAGGAAGTGGCTCAGGCTGTGCCCTGACCCTCCTCCCCCGCAGTGTAGCCCCCCCCCCCAGGGGAGCCCAGCTGCTGGGTGGGCCCTCACTTCTCCCGACCTCCCCCCCTGGCATCCACCACCTCTTCTCCAAGAGCCCCCCGAAGTGGGCAAACTCTTTGGAAAAACCTTTCCGACGGTGCCTGTGTTTGGGAAAGAGGCTCCACGTTGCCTTTGCAACTCAAGGTGTGCGTGCTGGTGGGGGGACACTGGGGGGGCGCCTTTTTCTTTTTTAAATAAAATACCCAGTAGGGGCCCCTGCCTGGCTCAGAGGAACGTGCGACTCTTGACCTTAGGGTTGTGAGTTCAAACCCCATGTTGGCTGTAGAGATTACTAAAAAAAATAAATAAACTTAACAAAAAACCTAACAGAATAGGTCTGATGGGTGTGGGCTCTGATGAAGACCTAGGTTTGAATCCAGCCTGAGCATTGAGCCTCTGCTTCCTCATCTGCGAAATGGGCATACCATCCATCACCACCTGGTAGGCAGGATGGGTTCTAAGTATATATAAAGTGCCTTGTGCAGTGCCTGACGGGATTAGGGACTTTCTCCTGGTGATCCATGGCCCGTGAGGGCTCCCATGGATCCTGAAGTCACCACACACCTGCAGCCCTGGCCTGGGGACTGAGGGTCCCTGATGACCCAGACCCCCCGTCGTGTGAGCCCCAATCTCCCGATTGACCCCCTGGCTCCCAAAGGCACCCCCAGACAGAGCCATGAGGAGCACAGCCTCATGCTGCATCGAGGTCCCAGGCAAAGCTCCTCAGCAGGTCACAGAGGGTGGTGAGGGCCCCAGACCCGGGGAGGCATGCCCAGAGCCCCCGACCCCCGGGTCTGGGGAGAAAGCTGCACGTGTGGGCAGCTCTGTCGCTGTTGGGATCTGTGACCTGCTGAGGTCACCTTCAGGGCAGCCCCCAAGGAACACCCTTGCCCCGCCCCACGGGTCATGCCAGCTCACTCTGTAAGCCCGCCACTCCTCACTTGTGCATTTCCTGCGGGGACCCCAAACACACACACATGCTGAGGGGCCGGCTTCCTGGGGAGAGCCTCTAGGGAGAGGCCTTTTCCTACTGTGGCCCCAGCCTGTCCCCTTCCTTCCCACAGGCCCCCTGGGGCTGGTCTAATGTTCTAATAATCACACCCGCACCCCCACCGCTGCGTGTGCTCCGCCGTGCGCCAGGCAGGAGCTGGGCGCTGCATTGAAACTAGCGGGAGAAGGTCCCGGTGAGAAGCACACAGCCTGGTTGCGGTTAGCCCTGGAGGTCACTTGTCTACACTGGGGATCAGTCTTCTCATCTGCAAAATGGGTGTGATTGAATCAGATTGTGTGACACTGAAGTCCCAAGAGTCCCTTCCTGGGCCACCACCCCATGTGACCCAGGTTCCTGGGCCACCCTCCCCTCCTCCACTGTCCAAACACCCTGCCGCACTCGCAGCCGCCCTCCCCCGTCCAGAGCAGCCCCTCACCCCTGCAGTTCTTCCCGCATTCCCGGGAGGTGGGACAGTTCCGGGCTTGTACCCCTTCTCTCCCTGGGACTGCTCACCCCTGCTTCTGTTCTCTGCCCCTTGCCCTTCTCGTCCCAGTGCATCATCCGGCTGGAGCTGTCCATGGAAGTTTCTAGGAGTTTCCTGGGGGGATTATAGCTCCCCAGAGGCCACACCTGGAATCTGAGGGCCAGACCTAATTGCTCACGCAGCTGCTGTGTGTCCCCGACGTCCAGTCTTGTGCCCTGGGGCTGGGCCTCCCTCCTCCCAGATGCAGACAGCCTTGGCCGCCCCTTTCCACAGCCCTAAACATACTGTCCCTTCAGGGGGATCCCTGCCCTGTCTGGGATGCTGGGGCCACAGAGGAGCGCAGCTGGTCCCCTGGGATGCAGACCTCTGGGAAACGGCCATTTCCTCCTGCCTCCACTGCAAAGGCATGCATCATTGTTCGGGGGGGCACGGGCCCTGTACCCCAACAGCCCGAGTTCATATTCCAACTCAATGGTTAGGGCACAACTCCAGCTGTGCCTGCCTCAGGCTTCCCATCCGTCAAATGGGGCTGCTGTGAGGATTAGATGGGTTAATCTGTGCAAGGAGATGAATGTTAGCCCTGAGAACGATTCACCACCCTCATCCCGGGCCCCCTCGAGCTAGGACCTGAGACCCTGTCATAGATCTCAGGCATCTCCCTTTATTTTTGTGGTCAAGAGGGTGATCTGCCCCAGTATTTATCTGCTCTCTTGCCACCATCACTGCCCCCTTCTGGTCCTTGGAGCAGAAGTCAGCTTCTGAGCAGCCACCCGCCCTGAACCAGTTGTTAGGGACCCTCTGGCCCAGGCTTCTGGAGGTAGGGAGGAGCGGTCTGCAGGGGGAAATTCAAGTCAGGGACCCTGAGTTAGGTATACAGAGTTGGGGAACAGGATCGGAACTCAGCAGGGACCCTGGCCCCCAGGGGGAGCTGGAGAGTTAATGGCGGAATGGGGGGTGCTGGGTTCAGGGACCCTCAGGTACATTGTATGCAAATGAGCCTGGGGTCAGAGTGCACAGCAGACATTGACTGGCGCTGGCTCTGGGTGCAGTGGGGACCCCAGAGCTGAGAGGCCATGGAACTCAAGGCCCCTCTCACCCGGGAGCTCCTTTCTGTCTCCCCGCTTGGGCCCCGATCCATTGCTCTGCCCTGCCAGCAGCACACTGACTTTCCGGAGGCTGAGGAACATGCATGTATGATTGCTATCTTGCTGTGTGCACATGCACCACGCAGACTTGCACGTGAGGAAAAGGGGCCGTTTCACGTGCCCAAACCAAAGTCAGGGACCCCGAGTGGAGCGTGAAGTGGTCTAAGAAGTTGGGCAGCAGGCAGTCTATTGGCAGAGATGGCCAGGAACTGTGGACACTGGTGATGGATGCTGGCCATTCCAAGAGCCAGGCTAGAAGAAAGATCCAGGGTCAAAGTGGACCCCATGCTCTCTCTGAAATGTAGCTTCTCACTGTTCCTCCTGACACTAAAGCAAGCGGCATTCTGTGCAGGTGTTCCTGGGCCACTTTGCGTGATGCCACCAAGCCACCCGACCCTCTCATCTTCTGGTCACTGATGAAGGCCTCCCCACTCTGGCCTCTTGGTGATGAGGCCATCTTCTCGAAGCTGGCGGTTCTTCCTCTCACATCCAGTTCCCGTAATGGCCATGCTCACTTGCTCCCGGGGGGCTCCAGGGGCTCCGTTCCTGCTCTGAGGACTGCTCGGCAAGCCACGCCTCCCCTTTGGAGGGTGGCCGGGAAGGCAGACTATCTAACGGAGTAGGGCTAGGGTCACACGCTGCCCAAGAATTAAATTGAGTTTCTCTCACAGAAAGTAAGTTTGTTTTCCAGCAGATAATTACATTTCCAGCCCCTGGGAAGGGGGATCGAGTCGCGGATGGACTGAGGTTGCTCATTTCCCCTCCTCCCTGAGCCGACGGGTGGGGGCCAAGGAGTCGCTGACGCTGCTTGAGGGGAGCACACCTGAGCCACCAACCCAGCTCTGCCACGGACTTGCTGTGTGACCCTGAGGAAGTGGCTCAAACCCTCTGAACCTTGTTTCCTTATTGTGGGACCTGGGGTCGTGGGAGAAGCCTGAGACCCTGTCTGGCACAGTGTGGACCAAGAGCTGGTACTCCATCGCCGGGCGATCTCTCTCCGTTGGCTTCTCTGCTTCTCACGCCCCAGCCTCACGCCTGGCTCAGACTCCGGGGAGGGGGCGGGGCAGAGGGGGCCTGATGCGTGGAGCAGACCACTGAGCCACTGAGCTCAGGGCAGAGCTGCTGTACACCGGCCTCCCCCTGCAGGGGGAGCCCTGAACAGAGCCCTGGGAGGGGGCCTGGGAAGGGCACAATGTCCCCTTCCCTGCAGAGGCCTGACTGCACTGGCCTCCCCCCTGCAGGGAAGCCTCTGCCGGAGCCCTGGGAGGGGCCCTCCTCTCTGCTGCCATCTTCCATTCGGCACCTCCCTCTCTCGCTGACATTTTCCTGAGGCCAGTCCAGGAGGAAGGGGGCTGGGGCCGCACAGCGCACGAGACGGGTGTGGGGGGAGCCCGGCCTCACTAAGGCTGCCTCTTCCCTGGGCTTGGGGCGGAGAGAGGGCGCAGGCCCCTCTCCGGGGCGGGGGCCACTTTGTTGGTTCCCCGGCAAGACCCAGAGCCACGGGTTTGCAGCTTCCCTGCCTCCCACATGTACCACACAGGGGTCCCCGCAAGGGAAGGCCAGCCAGCTGCCCCGCGTCCCCCCAACGTCCCCTTCCCTGAGGCCCCTGAGCGCGGTGATTCACCAGGAGGACCC